TGCGTGTTCTCACTCATATGTGGGAGCTAAAAATAAAAATAAGTTGAACTTTTAGAAACAGAGAGTAGAATTGTGGTTAGTAGAGGTGGGGGAGGGAGGGTGAATAGGGAGAGATTGGTTAATGGACACAAAATGACAGCTAGATAGGAAAAATAAGTTCTAGTGGTGTACAGTAGTGCTAGGCATCTACAATGAACAATCATTTATGGTATGTTCTCAAATGGCTAGAAGAGAGGAGCTCAAATGTTAGCACGAAGAAATGATAAATGTTTGTGATGATGAATACGCTAATTAACCTGATTTGATAATCACACATGGTATACATGTATTAAAATAGAACTCTGTACCCCATAAATATGTACAATCATTACATATTAATTAAAAAGTAAATAAATTCCTTAAAAAAAATCAGAATGAGATAAACTCAGAAAGTAAGTTCTCAAACCGGCAAGACTAGCTAAAGTTTGGAATATTGGTGCTTTGATTTCTCTTTTGGTCAGTAAGGATGGTCACAGAGAATTCTAAAACTCTGTGAGAGCGCCAGACCCTTTCTCCACAGAAAAATGCACACGTGTGTATACACATAGAATTTTGTATAGTTTCAGAGATTTGGGGTGAGTCTTCAGCAAAAGCTCCAATTCTAGCAGTTTTAGCAGAAGCAAGATGTTTGATTGCATCTTCTGAACGTCATCAGATTCTTGAATTATTAAAAACTATTTGCCAAACATGTTTTACTCAAAAAAAAGATCTTATTTGCATTATGTGAGCTGGCATCGTTTGACTCTTACGAGAGTGATAAGCTATGGTGCCATCTAGTGGAAATGAGGACAAATTACATGAGCCATAACGAGAGTTTATAATCTTTGATAATGTCTTACGTGTTTCATTGAGAATATGTGACAAAAATACTTGTCTATGTAAGCATGGTTTATTTTCATTGTTGTTCATTAATATAGGATGCAATACACTAATTAATAATAAATCCAAGAAATTCAGAAATGTCACTAGTTGGCAGCCAGTTACAATTTGTAACTTCTCACTATGGCAGTTCCACTTTTGGATTTGGGAAGGAGAGAACTCTCTGTTGATCTACAAATCCATTAGACACAATCCTTGTGCATAGCCCATTGTATCACGTCTTTTATTTTCTGTATTCTGATGCTTTCACATCTGGGGCCTTGCTAGTCTTGGAGAAACTGCCCAGGGTTAGCCAATTCCTACAGGCAGTAAACAACTCTTCTGGGAACCCTTTCCATATGTAAACCAACCAATTCAGTGTCTGACCCCAACCACCACGTTTATGGGGCTCTCACACTGTGGCCTCCTATCCACCTGCTTTAATCAACCCAGAGCCAGATGCCAGACAACTAGGGACAGTCCCTATTGCTCAGAACACCCTGAAATCATTTGAACTGTCCCATCCTAACTGGCTTACCCTATACTTCTCTTATTCCTTCCCACAGAAACCATAATAAGGCTCTTGCTCGTGTTTCCCTTTGCTGACTCTGCCTCCTGACTGACCCTTGTGTGTGTGCTCCCCCATGTGGCCCCGTGTGACATGCCGTGCCTTCAGTCTCTAAGGATCTGTACATATTAGAAACTTCTTCCTTCATGACGATCATTTCTGTGTCTGTATATCTTACTATACCCGATTAAAACAAATCCTGGGTACCCTTAAAACATCCTATATTAATAGTATCTGTTCCTGAGCAAAAAGAAAAAAAAGTTTTGTATTATTCTTGCGAATTTCTGTAAATTTGAGATTGTTTCAAATTTTAAAATAAAATAAAATAATACCTGTTCTTGAACTCCCTGCATTGTAATAGAGCACCTGTGTTCCGCTGTTTCCTCTGGGGTTGCTCCTGTAGCTCCAAATTCTAGTTTGGGATGTGGCGATAGTAGATTCACCACCAGATGCTAATGAGTCTGAAGCAAGTCCCAGGATTATAGTACAGCTGGGATGACTTCCATTCCCAGCTAGATCATACTCCCGGGACTTGCTTGGCTCCTATTAGCATTTGAAGGTGAATCTGTTGTCCTTTTATGAAACTCTGCCCAACCTTGTTCCTGAGCCATTTTCTACAAAGGTAAGGCATTTATTGCAATCCATAGACCTAGACTATGGACTAATTTCTCAGTGGCCACCCCTGCCACTAATTCTGAAAGCTTAATTAATTAAAGTCTACCTGATTCACAAAGCTAATTAATTAACTTACACCCAAATTCACCTCTGATGAATCCCCGATTGGGTACCTAGTTATCAACCATGTACTGCTGTCATTCAATTGGCCTCCTCTCCTGATACATTATAACTCAGTTTATGCCCCAACATTATACTGTTTGCACTATAAATTCTCTTCTTCAAACTATCACGTCTGCTGGAAAGGCTTGCCCAGTGGAATTCACTATTACTCTCCCCTCTTCTCTCCTTCCCTCCTCTACCTCTAGCTAAATATTCATTATCCTTTACAACTCAGCGACTCAGCTCAAATGCAAGTTTCTAGACCATTTTGCAGAGCGCCTCTCCCTTCTAGCTTTATCTTTTGAGTTTCAATACCAACCACTCACAGTGTTCCTTTCTACCATTCCACTTAGCATATCCATTCACATGTTTATCTAATTCATCAGACTCTAGAGCTTTGGGGGTAAAAATTCTGGAAGAGAACATTTTGGGTTTTTTTAGCCTCTGGGGGATTAAGCATTATTGCTATGGGTCAAAGGTGCCTCCCGAAAGTTCGTGTATTGAAAATTTCATCTACATTGTAACAGTGTTAAGTGGGTGGGATATCCAATTATGGTATTTGAAAGGTTGGGTCTTTTTTTCTTTCTTTTTTTTTCCCAATTACCCCAAATTTATTATTACACATTGTATACACATATTGAAACATCACACCCTACCCCATAAATACATATAATTATTATGTGTCAATTAGAAGTAAATAAATTTATTTTATTTTATTATTTTATTTATTTTATTTTTTAATTTTATTTTGTCGATATACAACGTGGTTGATTATTGTGGCCCATTACCGAAACCTCCCTCCCTCCTCCCCTTCCTCCCTCCCACCCAACAATGTCCTTTCTGTTTGCTTGTCCTATCAACTTCAATGAACTGTAGTTGTTATGTCTTCTCCCCCCCGCCCTGGTTTTTTTTTTGTGTTCGACTTGATGCTTTCCATTGCTCTGGGTATATTCCCAGCAGTGGGATAGCTGGGTCATATGGCAGATCTATCTGCAATTGTTTGAGGAACCTCCATACCATTTTCCATAGAGGCTGCACCATTTTGCAGTCCCACCAACAATGTATGAGAGTTCCTTTTTCTCCATGAAAAGGTTGGGTCTTTAAAAGGTGATTAGATTGTGAGGACCATGCCCTAGTGAATGGATGAATCCATTCTTGGAGTAATGGGCTGATGGTTTAATGGGTGGTCAGTCATGGGTGTGGTTATGGTGGCTTTATAAGGTGAATGAGGGGACGGCTCGTGGCTCACTCGGGAGAGTGCAGTGCTGATAACACCAAGGCCATGGATTTGGATCCTATATAGGGATGGCCGGTTGGCTCACTGGCTGAGCGTAGTGCTGACAACACCAAGTAAGGGTTAAGATCCCCTTGCCAGTCATCTTTTTAAAAAAAAGGTGAATGAGAGCAGGTTAGCTCTCTTGCTCAAGCTCTCCTCTCACCATGTGACACCCTGCATCATTGTAGAAGGTGGCCCTCACCAGACGTGTTCCCCAGACCTTGGACTTCCCAGCCTCCAAAACTGCAAGAAATAAATTTCATTTCTTTATAAATTACCCAGTTTCAGATATTCTGTTATAAGCAACAGAAACGGACTAATACAACTGCATAAACAAACAAAAAAAAACCCCCACAAAAACAAAAACCAAAAAACCAGGCTTCAGCAAGCTTTCTTAGATGCCCAGGAAAGGCAGAAGATCAGAACTAAAGAAGAGCACAAATGAGCTAGATAGCACAGAGAACCCTGACTGAGGGGTTGCAGGAGCATGATGTAAAAGGGAAAGGACACAGGGGAGATTCTCAGAAGTGCTACAGCGCAGACTTGTGGGGCAGAACACGCTGGCTTAGGCCTTCTGGACCCCAATGGGGAAAGCTCTGGTAGCAAAACTAAATCGGAGCACTGGATTCATCACTTCCATACCTACCCACCCTGAGTGATCTCAGAAGTTGTCTCCAGCCTAAGAGGTCTCCAAAAGCTGAGATTCTTGACTAAACTTCTGGTATTTTAGACCTAGGAATTTAAATTCCAGTAATTTATCCTAACAGCATAACTACACTAGTGTTCAAATATGTGTATAAATGGATATTCACCACAATTTTGTTTATAATAGCAACAAATTTAGAAATATGGAGCATTTATGTCATATTTTTTCTATATATTGAATTTTATAGCAAGCCATGTATACTTTCATAATTATAAACTAAGAATAAAAGAATAACATCAGAGAGGAAAACAAAGAATTACTTGGAAAAGCCTTCCTAATGGCATTTTATTCATATTTTTATTATGAAATACTGTTTTCAGGAAATAAGTTACAGATAATATTTCTGAAATCTCTTCACTGTAGTTATCAGTAGTCTAGTTTCTTTTCTGACAAGGCTTTCATTTACCATAGGCTCATGGAAAGAGAGGTCATGTCACCTGGGGAAGGTAGGTCCTATCAAACAGGCAGCGGTGCTGGTAGGGGTTTAGGGAGAGACTTAGAGAAGGTAAAGCGAGGGCTCTCAGCACCCCTGCACCCCTGAGAAGGCTCTCAGCTCTCTTACCCACTTATGTCTCAGTTACTAAAGGGTAACACCCTTCAACATGCAGGGACCGTGGTTGCCCGACTTTGTATAACTAGTACTGGAAACCAGCTCCTGCAAATATTGAGTACCCCAAAATATTTATTACTAAATGCCTGATTAATTAGTCTCGTTTTCATAATTTTATTTTGAAACTTTCAAAATAAGTTAAAAGTTTTGATGAGAATGTACTTACAATTGAATCACAGGTTGGAACTTTTCCGTGGAATCAAGTTTCAGCGGGCAGCCATATGCATTCCAATCATACCTCACTTTCTAGAAAGGGAGAAGTGCTTTGGTTATTTTATATATTTGGCTCATTGACAAAATTATAGTTTTCTTACCAAGTTTTTAGATGGTCGATGCCTTAGATATGACCTGTAAAAAAAGACATTCTTTATTATTTATTTCTCTTCCTTCTTCTCAAACTTAAAAGCTAAGATCGTGACTTTGTTTAGGTAAGGAGGTATCACAAAAGTCAGATAGATAAACATAATTATAAGACACTGAGTGCTTACTATGTTCCAGGGACTTTTAAAACAATTTTTACAAATATTAACACAGTTTTACAACAACCAACAAGGCATGAATTACTGTCGACCATTCGTAGATAGGGCACCGTTCTCAGAAATTGCAGGAAACTCTTTCAAGTGAGTGGCTAGGCTACGAATCTCTCTTTGCCACTAAGAAGGTTGCATGAAGGAAGTCCACGTTCATTGTGCAATCCCAATGATGTTCCTTCCAGAATATTAACAGATGAAAGAACAAGGTCCTTCAGAATCAGCAACAGTAGATGCACACTTACAAACTTCAGCTACCTCCTAATTTAGATTTCTCTCTGTAATGGAATCCTTCCCCTTCATGAACTCAAGGGTTTATTCTTCCAAGACCACCTTGCCTCACATATTCCCTGTCTTGTCAGTCCTTCAATCCTCAAACTTGAATCACCATCAACAGCCATGTGCTCCGTATATCTTACCATGCTCTAGGGGACAGACTTAAGAAATTCCCACCATAGTGGCTATAACCTATTTCATATTCTTACCCTTCAGGCCCACCTGCCACATAGTCACTAAAAGGTAATGCCCTCATCAACTATTAAATGTTTTCCCCTCTCCCCTCCTGTATCAACTACTGCTTTCACCAAGCATTGCAATCTGGAGTATATGGGCTCCCCCACCAATCCACCCTGTCTTAAAGTTTAATAAAATCACTTAAGGGATATTGCCTAGTGATTAATCATTCTTTTATTTATTTTAATTAGAATAAGAAAATTTCATAGCTTTTCAAAGGCTCTTGTAAATATTTCAGAGGCAATGGACTTCTATACTTTTGACAGCTGAATAAATATTTTAAAATATTTTATAAAGATCTTACGAAGGTAAAAGTCAAATTTTGTTTAATTGTTTCTTTAATGAATCACATTATTAAGAATAAATACGTATAAAACTAAATATAAAACATAGCAAAAAAAGTTTAGTTAGCAGAATATTTGATATTAGGACCTTCCTGGAAAATCCATAACTTGTAACTAGCTCAACTACAGTCTTGTAGAAATAGAGAAAAATTATGTAAGAAAAAAAATTCTTGTATGTATTCATTAAACTAGAAGGAACAATATAGGATTTGTGGCTATACGTATGTAAACGAGGCTTGCTTTGTTTCTCTAATTAGATTGAAGGAGGAGACTATGATTCACACTTTCTCTAGAATGTCAATTATAGTGTCTACGTATTTTGTTTAATGCCAAAACTGACTGCACAGTGCCAAGCCAAACCCAGTAGGAATTCCATGAATAAGTACTAACTGGTCGTAAATTATTGGTACTACATTAATATAAAACAGTATTATGCTAAAAAATACTTCTTACTTTTCGATCACATAAGAAAAATCATGGTGTAGACATTCTGTATTATTAAATCTACAAAAAATAAAACATAATGAAGTTGTATCATCATTCTTTATATATTTGCACAAACATTTAATCATTTAACTCAGTGATTTTCAAACTGGAGAGCACAGAGAATTGTCACTTACTGAATTAGAATCTCTGGGGTTAGTGTGAGGCCTTAGTCTTTCTATTTTTAAAAAAATCAGCTTCACAAATGTTTCGGAAGACACCAGAATTTGAAATAGACTAATTCACCTCTTATATTTGATACATGTTTATTAGAAATTCATGGAAAATTGGGGGTCGGGTGGAAAGAGGTTGGTCAAAGGACACAAAATTTCAGTTAGACGTTAGGAATAAGTTCAAAAGATTTATTGTACAGCACGATGACTATTATTAATAACACAGTTGGCCCTCCTATCTGTGGGTTCTGCATTGGGAGATTCAACTGATCGAAAATATTAAAATGAAAAACTCCCCACAAAACAATTGTGTTTGTACTGAACATATACAGACATTTTTTCTTGTTATTCAACCCTAAACAATACACTATACAGTATAATAACTATTTAATAGCATTTACATTGTACTAGCTATTATAAGTAATCTAAAGATGATTTAAAATATACGAGAGGATGTGCGTAGGTTATATGGAACTCCCCACAAAACAATTGTGTTTGTACTGAACATATACAGACATTTTTTCTTGTTATTCATCCCTAAACAATACACTATACAGTATAATAACTATTTAATAGCATTTACATTGTACTAGCTATTATAAGTAATCTAAAGATGATTTAAAGTATACGAGAGGATGTGCATAGGTTATATGCAAATACTACACCAGTTCTATCAGGGACTTGAGCATTGCAGACTTTGGTATCTGGGGGAGTTCCTGGAACCAATACTCTATGGATACCAAGGGACAACTGTATGCTATACGCTTAAAAAATGCTGAGAGTGGATGTAATGTGTTCTCATCACAAAATGATAACTGTGTGAGGTAATGCATATGTTAATTAGCTAGAATTAGTCACTCCACAGTATATTTCAAAACATCATGTTGAAGATGGTAAGCGCATACGATTTTATCTGTCTATTAAAAAAAATACAAACAAAAAACCAAAAAATAACTCCAAATTGCTGGTGACAATGTAAAATGGTGCAGCCACTTTAGAAAACAGTCTGGTGGTTCCTCAACAAGTCAAACATAGGATTACCATACTACCAGCAATCCCACCCCTAGGTGCATACCCAAAATAATTGAAAACGTGTTCAAACAAAAACTTGTACATGAATATTCATAGGTGCACGATTTACAAAACCCAAAAGGTAGAAATACCCCAAACGTCCACGAACTGATGAAAGAATAAACAAATGTGGTATATCCACGCAATGCAATATTACTCAGTTACAAAAGAGAATGAAGTATCAGTGTACGTGCCACAATGGGGGAACCTCAAAATCATGCCAAGTGAAAGAAGCCAGACATGAAAGGTCATATATTGTATGATGCCATTTATATGACATATCCAGAATAGGCAAACCAGCAGATGAATGGTCCCCAGGGGCTGGGAGAGAGAGAACAAAGAGTGACAGTTTTCTGTGCACAGTTTTCTTTTTGAGTGACGAAAATACTTTGGAGCTAGACAGTGGTACTTGCTGCACAACATTGTGAAGCTACTTAACGCCACCGAATTGTACACTTTAGAATGGTTAAAATGGTAAATTTATGTTAGGTGAATTTTATCACAATTTTTACAAAGTTACCATGCTAAAACACACACACTCACACACACACATACACACACACACACACACGCACACGCACACATTAGGCCTCGTGGCTCGTTTAACATCAGCACAGCCAGGTTAAGCAATTTTCCCCCTTCTCCCCCTCCCCTTTTCCTTTTCTGCTCCAGGAACTGAGATTCCACTCCTGGGAAGGGGTAAACATTACCATTATCATCAAGGGAACATCTTGTGGGCTGTGTCTAGCAGGCTGTGGGCTGGAATGCTTTGTACTGAGATAGTGGCTAATCAAGAGCCTACGACTTAACCTACCAAATGTCATCGGACCACAAGGGCTGTGTCACCCTGCATACCACTGATTTCAAAACTGCCCATTACTCTGTGTGAACCCTGCCTAAGTTCTTATAAACCCCGTGCTTTCATAAGTTTGTGGGAACTGATCTGGCTCAGTCTCCCTTCCACATTAGTGGAATAAACCTTTTGGCTGAAATGGCTCCTGACTCGGGTCTCTCTCTCTTCTCCATTTTGCCAAACCTAACAACATATACACACCTACACAAATAAAAATTTACAGAAAATCTATCAAAATGAAGACAAATTTCTTTGGGCTGCTTTATTTCATATAAACTTTTTTTTTTTTTTTAAACACAAGATTTCTAGTTGTTGCTAGAGACTCAGTTGTGCAGGTAAGGAGCTATTTTAAGGATTCTCATAACTTCTAGGTAAGGTTCATGCAGACAGAAGGCTATAATGGTCTGTGAAATGATAGAGTTTTTAGTAAGATATTTGTTTGACCATTTTGGCTGGCTGCTTCCAGTGTAACTTAGAGGGAATCATAGTTACCACCATTTTTATATAGATTCTGGAGGACTAAGTCCCCCTCACCCTGAACCCAAATTAGACCCCAAGAGATGCCCTCCTTCACTGATACTCTCTCAGGCCCAATGCAACCCAAGCTGAAGATATTAGAGTTGTTTTTAGGGTTCCAGAGCAGTGCAGTGGGTCACTGACTAAGAGGCCCAGAGTAAGATCCTGAAATACATTTTTTAAAAAAAAATATAATCTCCAGGTGACTCTGATGAGCAACCAAGATTGACAGTTACTATCTGGATCCTCCCAGAAATAGATTGGCTCAAGCTGCTTTGCATCTCACTGCGGAAGGAAATCAGGGCCTGAGAACAATTTGTGCATGCTATTGTACTGGGCATAGCTTTTGGTAACATGTTGCTTACAGCAGTTATTCTCAAACTTTAATGCCCTTACTAATCTCCTGGAAATTTTGTTAAAATGCAAGATTCTGATTCAGCAGGTGCATGATGAGGCCTGAGATTCTGCATTTCTAACAAGGGCCCAGATGATGCCAGTGCTGGTCCATAGACCATATTTTAGGGAGCAAAGATGTAGGATGGTACCAGAAATAGGACGGTACAAGCTATATGAATCAGTGAGCCTTTTATGTTTTGTGGAAAAGAAATTATGGGTGCAAAGGTATAGGAAATGCACATTTAGGAAATGCTGAATGACATAGGAATACTTAATCATCAATCCAACAACTGATTTTTACAATTCAGTAGTCATCAAAGATTATTAGAATGACAGAGGAGTTGGCATTCTTTTTGGATGACAGCAAGCCATGTCATAAATATTCAGGTAAGAGTCAATGTTTCCCCACTCTCACCTCCACTCCTTACCAAAGAAAAGGAATCTCAACAAATTGCTGTCTGCATTATACATCTAACCTTAGTTAAACAGATTTCTGTATGCGGACCTTGAAAATCTAATGTGCTTCTCTGTGAACCATAATAAGATCAATAGAATTCACACCTTGGAATTGTTTCTCTCTGGAGGAACCACGGGGACTTCTATCAGGTTTGCTCTAAAAAATTTCCCATAGAAAATGGTGCAGGAAACTGGAGGTTTCTCTGCGATGGGTGTAAGCAATTCTCTGACGGAAATGAAATTATAACTGGCTTGTGTAGGGTGGAAGACAGAGGTAAGTGTTTCTCCTCATTTCTCTGGGAATGAGCTGTGGACTCAAGAGCTGAGAAAAGTAATGGCGAGAGATGTAAAGTGGAGGTAGAGAAAAGCTGTAATAGGGAAGGTAGAGAAAAATGCTGGTAATAGGGAAAGGGGTTAATTCCTTTTCATTTTTAGTATGATTCAAATGTAACATTTGACTTGGCCAAAAGCTCAAACCCAGAGAAACTGGATTTCAATTCAACTTTGGATTTCATTATGGGCATGTCAGTCATTAGGCTACGATTATCACTAGTAATTATCATTTAGTTCACCATTTTTTTTTTAAAACTTTAAGAGTAAGACAGGTCAAATGGAAATATACTTGCCCTTTCACTGCAATGAATTTGTTTTTATCACAGCCAACAGCTATTTGGAACACCTAAAATGAGACAAGTCAGGTAGTGAGTTCAGTGGTTCTGATTCACATGATCTAAAATATTATTACAGCTAAAAACAGTTATATTTTAGATTTGAAATAATGACCTTTCACACGTAGGGTCTGTTATATTGCTCTTTCCTCCTCCTCCTTTGATCATTTATTTTTCTTTGTTTGCTTCCTTTCGTCTTTACCGCTCACGAGGCCCACAGGTTGGTTCTCTGATTTCTTACATCAGTGTCTTAGGGAATTGATCTGACCTCACCCTTTACCTGTACCTCTCCAACCATGAGTATCAACTCCATATTTCTAACTTGCACCTCTGACTCAGCTGATATATTCTACAATATATCTTGCTGCTAATGTGACTTTTATTCACTTTAGTAGACTAGAAATTTATTAGACTATCGAGTAGCATCATGTAAAATGGCATCTGATTTTTATTATTCCTGCTTTAAGCAGCACTACTCTGTATTCAAAGGAACACTGACAACAGGCCAGCTATTAAATATTAAACCCCTGTGCTTTGTTTGAAAACAAACTACCAGTGCACACTATAGCATAACATGCAAGAAGTCAGAAGTCAGCCTACAGTGTCTGCCGCAGGACTGTGAGATGCTTTATTAATACAGCCCACACTTCTCTGTAAGTAAACTTTGGGATACAGTGCAAAGTCCAACAACAGTGTCACGTAGATGGGCTGTGACATGACGCTTTGTTTCACAGGCTGGAAATTCCCAAAAAAGGCATTCGATATGGAAAAGGCTAACATTAAAACTACCAAATAAAATCCTGCTGGAGTCTGACGTTTACCTCCAAACACACTGTTGGTAGCAGTATTTCCCATTTCTTTTAACAGATTCGATACTTTTGCAGTAAGGACAGAGTAGAGTGAATCCATATTACATACAAAAATTAAATTAAATTAAAATAGAGTTTGTGGAGCAAAGGCTAAGAAGATAGGTTACATCCAGTAGCTGGAATATGTTATATCTAAAGTTGAAAGACAATTAACTTCATTAAATCTCTGTTATAGGAAAATGATAACAAAATCAAAATGCCAAATATGCTACCCTGACTGTAAATACTTAGATATTTGTTGTTCATAAATAATATACAGGTTATGTAGAACTAAAATACAATTAATTACTATAGAAACATTAAAGGTAGGCTTAAGAAGATGGCAAGAGTTGAAAAAACTGGATGGATGCCTTAAATTTACTTATAAGAACTGCCAATGTTTCATGCAGGGAGTTATGCCTTCTTTTAAATCAGACTCCTGGTTCTCCTTCAACTGGGATGCCTACTTCTTTCTCTACCTGGTTCCAGGACAACATACTCACTGCCGTCTACCCTTGCCCCTCCACCAGGCTTTCTAAGTGCGATCTAGACACTTACAGTTTGCCTTAAACATGTCCTTGTATATTGCACATTTCCACAAGGCAAATCTGGAAAAACCCTCGTACTCCCTAACCTCTAAGAAGGACTTGGGGGTCAAGAGAGTGGTGACAGAGTAATGACGTCTAGCCAAGTTTGGTAGATTTAAAGAGTTGTCTCTGCTACACCAAGATCTTTCAGGCTTCATTTCAGAGGCATGCTCCGCAGTGGGAGTTCGTGGATTTTATTTCCTAAGCCACCTGATCTCACCCCCAGGAAATGATTTGTTCTTTCGACAACTCTCTCCATAGTCCCATAGCTCTCGCTGCCCATTATCACTAAATCTTTGCTTTCCCATCAAAATTGCTCAGAAATGCGGGCCTGCCCTTTATCTTTACTAAATTATCCATACAACATATAGAGTTGGCTGATGACCTTAAATCTATCATAGTCACGACCCACTGTCACTTGCTGTTCTCATTTGTAATGTCCCTTCTCTTTCTGGTCCTAGTTTACAAAAATTTCCCCAAGCCTTGGAATCAACAACCATGGCTAGGATTAAAAATACGAGTTGACCTGTAGGTGGATCTTGAAAAGAAGCTGTAGGTACAGAGTGAGAAGCATGAACAGGCCTGTTTTCTAAGGTGCCCGCTGCTGCAGGGCTGACATATGTTCCCCAGGACTGGACACCTAATTAGGAACATTCTGACATATAGCCTAAATGAAAACATGTCTCTTCAGTGCAGAGACAGGGCAGGACTGCTGCTGTCATAGTTCAGAGCCAGACACAGCAAATTCCCTCTTGCCAGACAGAACAACTGATCTGAGGCAGGAATTCTAAAGGCTCTCAAGACAGAGGTGCTGGAAGACAATGTATTAGAGAGAGTTGTAGTCATCCCTCCCTGGGAAAATTCATCTTGGAAGGAAGTACTAAGGCCCTCTGGGGGCTGGCCTACATTTCTCCATTTCTAGATCTTCGCACATGGTTAGAAAGTGATATGCAGCCTTATTGGAGCTGTTGATTCAATTTGCTGCTCTGCCTCAGGCTATGAAGGCTGAGAAGCAAAGACAGCAGATTCCTATTCAAATGACTCAGTCCGTGTTCATTTGATTTAGCAGGTTTAACAAGGGCCTAACTTCATCCAACTGAAGAAGTCTGTGGGCCATGGTTCTGTGTACAGGTAGAGCTGGGCCCTGCGTGTCTACAGTATTTATCTGGAGGCAGATGACTTGCTTACTTATAAGAAAGGGGTCACAAAGAAGGGACTGTGTGGTTGAGAGCATACCTTGTAGTTGTGTACAGGTTTTGATTTCCTCGGCTAACTAGAGGACCTGCCTCTACAAGGCCACAGTTTCTCATTGCCTAAAAGGTCTACTCCATTCTATTTCAGTGGGCAGGTCAGTACAAACTACTTGCAGTGGGCCCAAAGGGTGGCTAGATTTAAACGGGCTTTGTCTGGGGGGTGCCGAAGAGGAAAAAGAAGGAGGAAACCAGTAATATTAGACAATTACTCTGTGACTGGCACTGTTTTGCATACTTTACATAAATGTGCTCATTTAATACTCTCAAGAATCCTGTGAGGTAGATGTTAGATTTTTCCTACAATTGAGGGAGCCTAGACTCAGCGTGTTGAAGTAGCTTGTCCAAGTCACTAAGTAGTAGAGCTTGGCTCTACGCTTGGGTTAGATGAACCTGCCTTTATAATGCCTGGGCAAGATAGGGTGAATAGGGATCCCTAAGAAATATATAGATTAGAGAGGGATGGAAGAAACCATGGTGCTTCAGGAAGCCATCCATAAAGGTACGGTGTCAAGCAGCTTAAGTTAGAAAACACAGATCTGGGCTGTGGCAGGAACTCATGAGGTTGGGCTTTCTTGCTTCCTAAGCAGATTGAACTGGGTGGGTGGCATGGCAGAAAGACAGGGGAGTTGTTGGTATGCAACCCCAGACAGTGTCCAAGGATGGCACATCTGCCTCAGTTCAAGGCTCCCTCTAAATTCATGGAATCATGCCCTGGTAGGAACAGTTTCCTTGTGATGGGGTCTTGAAGAGGAGAAACCAAGTTGTATTTCGCTTCGTTTTCTCCATGTGCAACACAATGCCTGGTATACAGTAGGCGCTCAATATATGTTTACTGAATTTTACTTAGGCTGAGAAGGAATAAAGAGAGGAGGCATGCCCCAGTGTGGAACACAGACTCAAAGGACATGGTGTTGTTAAGAATTTGTGTTTACTTTCGTAATACACGTAGTTATTAATGCCCTGTCGCTATTTCACACCTCTGTGCTTTTTCCTGAAATTTCCTGTGCATCTACCTGCTGAACTGCTTACTTATTCTTCAATAATCACTTTAGGTGTCACTTTCTTTTCACCTTTCCCCTTCCAGTTGAAATTGCTCACTCTGTCTTCTGGGCTATTTGATGACAACGTGCACCACATTGTCTTAAGCTAGCTTATGTTTACCTCTAGGGAAGGCGCGCTGTCTTTTCATCTTTGTGAGTCCCACTATCTGGCACACAGACTGGAACACAGAAATGTCACAGGCACACAGTACATTGTTTTGGATGAATAAATGCAGGATAAACACGGACACAACCGGCAGTCTTCTCTGACAAACCATGTCCAACTTTAGTTGTTCCCATTAATTTCAGTGTGTCTTTACACAGTTTTATGTATCTTCAAATCTTTAAAAACCAATAATTTTACATTTTGTGTGTTTACATATCCCACTTTAGATGATAAAAACTCGCAGGAGGCAGAAATCTGCTTTCAAAACAAAATAATGCTATCTTTACAGTGAAACATTACAAAATGTTGCTAAGTGTTAGGGGAGTGGTGCTGTATGCAGGTAATGTGTATTATCTAGTTTACGATCTGTACATTCTTGAAGTCAATTTTTTGATCTTCAACCCATGTCACTTACCTTTTTGGCTGTTGGACATGTTTTTGAATATTCACTAGGTCGAAGATTAAGAAGCACAAGACCTGTGTTCTGGTTTCTAGGAAAAACAACGCATACCGGTTATTACAGAATCATGACAGAGGAGGCGTGATTCTGCTTGTCTGTAGAGCAAGTGAAATGTGCCATGCACACGAGGTGACCGAACCCTCGTGAGGAGTTCTGGAGGTCTGGAAGGGCGGTGTCAGTGGTAACCGTTCACTGCTTCTGCTCAGGCAGCTTTGCACTGTGGTCAGATTCTTGCCCCCTGCTCATGGTATCTCATGTTTTGGCCACCACAGGGTAGGCACAGTGGGGAACAGAAATGAGCATTCTGTCACGGTTTCAAGTCCCCTATTTCATCAGTACTCGCAGTCCCTGGGTGGCGGGGCTCTGCTGCTGACATGTTGGCCTGTTTGTTACAAGGTGGCAGGTCACTGTGTTGATTCCTCCTCTAGCCTCTACAGATTTTTCCCTTCTATTGATAACACCTTGGGAACAATAAAGGCTAAGTTATAAAATTAGTTTTCTGAACCACATTAAGCTGCATAATATGATCTGATTGGCATCAAAAGGCAGGCGAGATACAATGCCTTTCTTGACTATGAAGTGCACACAAATCGTTTTGTGCCCCAGCAAAATGTCAGGGCCCAAACATAACAGAGGAAGAAATTTTGAAAGTGTGGTTCACACCTTATCCCTACTAAGACTCTTACTATTTGAAAAAACTGGGGAAAAACAAACATGAAAAAATATGGTGGACAATTTGATGTGTATTCGACAGCCACATACACTAATTCTTGATAAATATGATGGTACTTCAAAAAGCTTGTGGAGAAAGATAGTACAAATCTTCTATGGACTTTTTGTTTCTTGTTTGTTTGTTTATTTAAATTTTTATTAGCATATTCATTGTTGCAAATCATACTTTTTCTTTATGCCTCTTATCCAATCACTTCCCCTACCCTCTCCCCCCTCTAATAACCATAGATTTGTTCTCGCCATCTGGTAGATGAACTGTTCCTCCATTGGTTTGTTGCCTAGATGATCTGTCCAGTGCTGAGAAAGGTGTTCCATGGACTTTTTGAAGTACTCCCATATCCACAAAACCAAAAATAGTCAAAGGAACCCGCACCATGAGAAGGATAAAGAGAGAAGTTGCTAGGTGGAGGGGAAAGGAATGAGTTGAGCCTCTCCTGACTACTGTGTTTAACGTAGCGTTTTCTCCCCACCCTTCCTGGTTGCTCTATCACATTCTGTTTTCTTTTCTCAATAGAGAGAAGTTGCTAGGTGGAGGGGAAAGGAATGAGTTGAGCCTCTCCTGACTACTGTGTTTCACGTAGCGTTTTCTCCCCACCCTTCCTGGTTGCTCTATCACATTCTGTTTTCTTTTCTCAATAGCACTTACCAGTATTTGGAATTATTTTGTTTATTTGCTTACTTGCTGTTTGTCTCCTCCCACTGGAGATAGGTTCCATGACACCAGTACTTCATCTTTCTTGTTTACCGTGTATTTTGAACATCTAGAAAGCACTTGGCATAGAGCTGGTACTCAAATTCTCTTGGAGTAGCAGCAAACTAAAGAAAAATGAATATCCTAGAAAAATATGCTATTTTTTTCCAGAAAACATTGTCAGGCCATAATGATTACTAAATTAAGAAATAGCCCTTTTTCCCGCATCATTATTTGGATGAATGAGAGCCTTTGGATAGGGCGTTGTTTTCATTAAACTACAAGAGTATTTTACATTTTAATACACTTAAATATTAATTTCACATTTATCCCGACATTTAAAGAAATTTGAAGTTTGTGTATTTAAAAAGATATGAGGCCATTTACATGAAAGAAGACCTACAAATCACTAACCTGAGCGGCAATTTTAATACTGAGTAAGTTCTTTTAAAAGTTATACTTACTGCAACTTGAAGTAATCCTTTACTGCCTCGTAATTTATATTCTGAGAAAATGATAGAATCTGAAAAAGAAAGTGAAAAGGTTTATGTGAAGCAAGAACGTTGGAGATGGGGATCCCACTTTAGTAGCACGTGTCTTTCCATACCCAGGCCATAAAATGCCTCCGTTAGGATATGTAATAATGTTGATCACTGTAAACCAAGTTTTCCTAGGACACAATATATACTTTCAAGACAGATTTAAATCTTTCTTTAGGTAAGAAAAATGATATACTTATCATTTTTTAAAAATCCTTTTCTATTTCAGAAATCCCAATTATATATACTGTAGATTTACTTTGTTACATTTTTTGTTATTTTTCCTTTTAATTTTATATTATCTTTGTCCTTTTTTAAATATTACTTCTCATTCTGTCCTCATTTGACTTGTATCATTGCAATATTCTTTTTTCTCACTTATTTCCTGAGCTTAGAAAACTTTAATTTTCTTCTGTTTTCTTCTTAGAAACAGAAACTTGTCTCTGAGCCCTTTTATTTCTTCTGAGATTTTTAAATGATAACAATTATCATACTTTTTGTGGGTTTTGAGGCTATGTGGAGTTATTTGCCTGAACCTTTCCTGTGTTGCTTTTGAGTAAATTTTTAAGATATTCATCTGCCTTTTGCATATGTTTTTGCTATTTTTTTTTTCCCTCTGAGGCATGTTTCATCTCAATTTTCAGCATTACTTAAGGTTGTTATCTTCTCAGGGTAAAAGCCCTTTACAGAAGATACATGATAGTAAAAGCAGAAAATTATAAGCCCCACATTTTAAAAGTATACTAAGTGCAATCCTATGTTATATTACTTTTTAGTCGTCCTTTGTTTAGATATTATACATTCTTTAGACAGATGGCTTAAATTTGGTTCTGGCTAATCCATTTTGGTGAGAACAGAGACTACATTTCTCTAAAAAATCTTAGTGAGTAAACTTATTTCTGAGACAAAGTGCTGGATATTAAGTGGCACCACACAAAATATACAACTTGTTGAGATAAAGTTGCAGGTTGTGAAGGTCAGTAAATATAAATACCAGGGCAGTGGGGAGGCTGAGGGACTCAGCCACATCACCCCCACATCCACATCCAGCCCAGTGATGACCACGAGCTGTCACTGGAAGCACCCTGGGCTCCTGAGCTGGGGCAGTGGGGTCCTGAGGACCTCGGCTGTGCCCCCCATGTCTGCATCTAGTCCAGCTACAACTGAGCCACCACCGGAAGCTCCCTGAGATCCCCTGCTGGAATGAGGGGGGTGCCATGGGCCTCAACCATGCCCCCTTTCTTTCTCCTCCTCCCACTCTATCCCCTACCCATTCTCCCCCTCCCCTAACTGCTCCAAAACAACATCTTAGAATGTTAAATAAATAAATAAACCAATTAATAAAATAAATTAAAAAATCACTTGTTTTTTTTTTTTTTTGTCTTTTTCCGTGTCCGGCAACGGATCGCAACCCTCAGTGTTGCCCCCGTACCGGACCGGGACCGGCAACGGGATCGCAACCCTCGGTGTTGCCCCTGCACCTCGCTCAGCCAGTGAGCGGGAACCGGTCTGTATGTGGGATCCGAACCCTCGGCAGGAGTGCCACCACACTTCCCAAGCGGCGCACTATAGCAGTGCACCACCGGGCCGGCCCAAAATCATTTGTTAAAGTAAAAAAAGAAAAAGAAAAAGAAATCATGTTCCATACTCAGGGGAAGGACTCAATTGTCAGATTTACATCTGTATTCTACCATACGCTATCCTTTACTTTATCTATAAATGATAAAAATAACTTCACAAGAATGTTCTTACTTATAATTTTTAAACTCCCAAAATTTAATATTACCTTTTGTGAAACACAATTGTATTTTCCACGCTTTGCTTATTAGTTGTCATTCAAATGGTGCTCAAGCCTGGGTTTGCAATTTCAGTCTATATATATGTATATTTTGGGGGACTATAGACACTGAAAATATCTGTGTTATGTGTGGAGGAGTGTAGGAATGTTAACATTGAGAAAGACCAGGGAACTTACATAGGGCAAAAGCCCTTAGTGTAGATAAGAGATCTGAGGCAGAACAGGGATTGTTCAAAAGGCAAAAGCCCTTCACACAACAAAGATCTTTAAGGATACTCTGCTAGATTAGATAAGAACATTAAGGTCATTTCTTATCCAGGTTCACTCCCTTTCCTTTGTTTCTTAAGATGTTTTCCAGAGATTGCCCCATAGCCAATTTCTTTTCCTTCCTTTGATAAATGATTGACTAAGTTGTTTTTTTCTCTGTATTTCCTTGTCTTTACAATAAAAGCTGAAGCAAATCCTGACTTGGGGCCACGCCTTGTTTCTCCCTTCTTGAGGGAGTTTTGTTGGTGCCGTCTGTTTGGGCTTCTCACTGCTCTTAATATTTGGGCTCTGAGTAATCTTTGCGTCTCCGTCACACAGTGAGAAGTGACAATTATGGAACTATTAAAAATATATATTTTTTGATTGTAATTATCTATTTAAAAACCACACCATTATAAATAATGAAAGAGTAATTAGTTTTGCAGGAATAAAAGACACACTTGAAAATATCTGTAGTGTGAAGAAACTAAAATGTTTGTGTATTTTTTTTTTTTTTTGTCTTTTTTCATGTCTGGCAACAGACCGCAACCCTCAGTGTCGCGCCTGTACTGGACCAGGACCGGCAACGGGATCGCAACCCTCGGTGTTGTTCCCACGCCTCACTCAGCCAGTGAGCGGGAACCGGTCTGTATGTGGGATCTGAACCCTCAGCGGGAGCGCCGCCGCGCTTCCCAAGCGGCGCACTGTAGCAGTGCGCCACCGGGCCAGCTGAAAATGTTTGTGTATTTTTAAAAGGAACAAATGAAACTTCTAGAAGTTAAAAGTACAACAATCAAGTAAATACATAAATACAGTTTGAGCATCTGTGATCCCCAAATCTGAAATTTGAAATGCTCCAAAATCTGAAACTTTTTGAGTGCCACCATGACACTACAAGTGGAAAATTCCACACATAACCTCATGTGATGGGTTGCAGTCAAAACTCAGGTGAACAACACACAGTTTATTTAGCATTCCCAAGGGAAAAATGACCCTCCCAATCCCCTTTGGTTGCGATATATCTTTTCTGCACAGGCCCAGATTCTCCCACACAATCATACCCACAAAGGGTACTAAAATGTCATGTATGCAGGCCAGACATGCCAACAACATGTTACCCCTGATGCTCCACATGGAGCCAAGACCTACGTGCATTACTCACTGTGGTTTATTTTTTTGCTTATTCTCTGCTCTGTTGTGTAAAGACATTGTTGAAACGTCAAAAAGGCCTGCAGGTTCCCCTATGAGTAACGGTGATTGAAAAAAGAAGACAAAACATTTATGTTTATGTATAGCACAGGAAGTCAAACTGTTGGAGGGACTGGACAGTGGTGTAAGCGTGAGACATCTTACAGAAGTGTATGATGTAATGACCACCATATGTGACCTGCAGAAACAGGAGGATAAACTGTTGAAGATCTATGCTGAATGTAATGAAAGATGTTAAAAAAAAAAATAGAAAAACGCTGCATAATGCTAAAAATGAAGACCTTGATTGTGCGTTGAAAGAGTGGATCCATAGCATGACAGTGACTATTTGCCACTTAATAGTTTGCTAATCAAGAAACGAGCAAAGCTCTATCATGATGAACTGAAAATTGAAGGGAACTGTGGATATTCAGCAGGCTGGTTGCAGAAATTTAAGAAAAGATACAGCATTAAATTTTTAAAGATATGTGGTGATAAAGCATCTGCTGATCACAAAGTAGCAGACAAATTCATTGATGAGGTTACCAAGGTCATCACTGATGAAAATCTGACATCAGAACAAGTCTATAAAGCTGATGAAACATCACTTTTTGGCATTATTGCTCCAGAAAGGCACTGACTACAGCTGATGAGACAGCTTCTACAGGAACCAAGGATGCCAAGGAGAGAATAACCCTGCTGGGATGTGCTAATCCATCCGGCACGCATAGTGTAAACTTGCTATGACAGGCAAAGCTTGCATCCTTGCTGTTTTCTAGGAGCAAATTTCTTACCAGTCCTTATTTTGCTAACCAAAAGGCGTGGATCATCAGGGACATCTTTTCTGACTGGTTTCACAAACATTTTGTACCAGTGGCTTGTGGCAGGGAAGCTGGACTAGATGATAACAGCAAGATTTTGTTATTCCTTGACGACTGTTCTGCTCATCTTCCAGCTGACATTCTCATCAAAAATGATGTTTTTACCATGTAATTTCCCCCAAATATGACTTTATTAATTCAGCCGTGTGACTAGGGTATCCTTAGATCAATGCAGAGTAAACATAAGAACACTTCCTTAAAAAGCATGCTAGCAGCAGTGAACAGAGGCATGGGCGTGGAAGGTTCCAGAGGAGTTTAGTATAAAGGATGCTGTTGCCAACACTTGGAACACAGTGAGCAAAGACACAGTTGTGCACGCCTGACACAGCCTCTGCCCTGTGACTGTGTTCAGTGACGATGATGAACAAGGTGGTGACTGTGAAGGATTCTGTATGTCAGTGAGAAAAAATGTCTGACTTCCTTACATAGGCAAAGAATATAACTTCAGAGTCCATCAGTAAACTGGAAGACATGGATATGGAGCAAGTTTTTTAACATCTGTAATGAGGCTCCAGTTGCTCATTCATTGACTGACAGTGAAACAGCCAAAACAGTCCTGAGTCAAGGTGATCGTGATAATAGTGACAATGAAGATGGCATTGTCAACACTGCAGAAAAAGTGCCTATAGACAACATGGTGAAAATGTGTGATGGGCTCATTGAAGGACTGGAGCAGCCTGAATTCATAACAGAACAGGAAATCATGTCAGTTGATAAAATCAAAGAAAGGTGTTTAAAACAAAAACTGTTGTTAATGAGGCAGATGTCTCTGGAGGAAACACTTAAAGAAGCCATCCAGCAGAATGCCTCATTTCTAGAGGACCCAATTCCTGGGGCCTCAACTGCTTCTGATGTTTTTTCTCATCTAAAA